CGGTCAGTCTCAGATAATACCTCAAAGAATATAGACTAATAACATGCAAAAGTAGACAAATTCACTTACTTCTAAAATTTTCCTGGCTTTCTAACTATGCGACAAGAGAAGATACAAATTCATCCAAGCTAGTCGTTAACTTTCCCAAGGGAACAATGTTGCTACTCAGATTGAAATTGACAGTTATCTGTTCAGAGCAGAATGTTATACAATACGCCATTTGATAGATGAAAACCTTGACTTTCTATTGGTTATGGTAATATATAATGAAACGTAAAAGAGAACTATTAACGAATTGTGAAGGGAGGATGTGACAGATGGGTGTGGCAGGATGCGTCTGATTTTCTCTTTGATAGCTCTGTAACCAAACAAAATTGAAGGTTATAAAAATTATGGTCTGTTTAAGGAATAACAAATTTATATAGAGCATTTTATGTTTAATTTTGTACATTTTCGAGGGGTGATGGATAAAATAGGGATGATGACATACTAAGAAAAATGTTACACTAGTGGAAATTCAGGATTTTTAAACATATTTCCTTTTGGAATTAAGAACTTAAAACTTGTATACTATTAAAATAGGGATTATTAGCTAAGATTTTATTCTATTCTAATTGGTATAACATAAACAAAAAGTAGTTTAATAAAATTTTGAATGTAAGACACTAAAACTTTGTCATGCGCAGTAAAGGGTACCAGGGCCAATAGGGTTAAGGTGGTTATGAGACAGTTAAATTGACTGAATTTGAAAAGAGTTAGGGTAGAGCAAATAACAGATAAAATATAAAATTTTATTTTTAGAAAAGCCTTTCAAATGTATTTAGGAGATTTTACAGATTATGCAAATGAAATCTGACAATTTTCAGATGAAGAAAAGTATTTTTAATTTTAACATGAGAATCACTTTGTACTCAGAACACTCAACACTTTGACTATATATTCACAGAGAAATTTTCTGTAAAAATACTTCATTAAAACCACTGGTTTTGTGTGTACAAAAGACTTGTAATGTTTACTGAACTTGTATGTTATAATATATTAGCTACACTACATCTACCATATCCAATGCCAATAAAGCATTTCACCTAATACCAAGGTTTATCAGACTGGCTGGGATACAACAGGCATAATAGTGGTTTTGTTACATATCTTTCCATTAAATTGAGTAATTTTAAAGTGGTTAGTAATATAAACTTTGCCTGGGGCTATTAAAATTCTTATTCAATTAAAATATCTTGGAAATAAAATAGTAAATCGTGAATATCTAGCTTATTGTGAATGTTTGTATGCTTATGCATCTGGTATAATTGTTACTTAGAAACATATTGAAATATTTTAATATTTGATAATTATTTATTGTAATAGGTGTAAAACATTTAAGGTTGTTTAGAAATATGATTCATTTTTATCTGTATACCTATGTTTATGTATGTACTTATATTGTAATGCATGTAAAATTAAACTTATGACACTTATTTTTTTTCTCTAGAACCAAACACAAGTTGCAACTGCTCTCCAAGTCTTCCATAACTTACAAGTGCTTCAAGCAACAATATGTAAAGTAATAGAGCAGACTAAAAACAGACTGAAGAAAAATGTAAATGAAGCTTTGGACATCAAGAGTTTGATTACAAACTCTGTATCGGCTTCTTCCAGAGGTTAGAATTAAGACCACTTTTTCACAAGTTTATTATAAACAGGTGCAAATCATATGAGATGAAATTCACCAATATGTTAATTGGAAATGCTGCTTAATGTGCAATTATTGTAATATTTTATTATTTTCTGGCTAATCTTATAGGAAACATTCTCGTAAGCAACTGTAAGAACATGTATGTACTCACGAGCTTCTTTCATTTTTTTTTAGATTTACATTATTTTCTAACATACTGGAAATTTGGACTTTGTATGTATTTTTTTGATTGTTGGTTGGCGAGTTTGACTCAGTATACACTCCCAGCAGTCCAAAAATTCTAGACCAAATGATCAGGAACTGAGTTATGCAAAACAGTAAAGGTGATGCTGTTTCAACAGCTTAAATAAGAAACGCTAAAAATCAAGGACTAAATATGGCCAAATTATTGTGTATTGATATTGATTCATTATTAATATATAAAGATGTAGAATTATTTTTGAAAATGTGTGTTAACTGAGTCTGTTTAGCTATAATTAATGCAGTTTTCAAGTTTTGTCTTTCTGAAGTTTCATTTTTGCTTATTACCCAAGTGAACATAGTAAAAATATCCCACCATTGCAAATTCAAAAAAAAACCACAGTATACCTATACAAAACACTGTAATTTTAAATGAAGAACTAAACATGGACAAAAACGAAATAAAGAAAGCTGCCTCAATTGAACAAAACAGCCCTACTCTAATCCAACACCTTAGGGTACCAAGACACCTTTATTAAGCTGATAAGTAATCTCTTGTCATGTGATCTCTTTGTTCAGTACTTTATATTTATTTCTGTCTATACTACTTGTACCTGATGATGACATAAGCTTGTCAAAAGTTTGAACCTTTGTAATGAAATTGTTTTCAGTACTCATTCAAGCCATCTCCAAACTTTATTGTCTGAAAAGTGAGTTCATCGTCATCCAAAGTGTACTTCATATTACATTGTAGGTTAACTGCAATTTCCCTTTGTTAATGTTTTACAGTCCTGTAAAACTCATTTTTGATGTAGTTCTTCATGGTTAGGAAGAGTACAAGCTTAATTGTATTTTGTTGTGTTTAATTATAGTATTTAATAAAACACATTGCTACAGAAGCATAGTCTATAGAGTGAATGCTTCCAAAGGTCATTGCAAACTTTCTCTTCAGTTTGGATGTTTTATGCAATATTGGCATGCTACAGAACATTGTTATGGATATTGTAGTTATGCAAGGCTGCTAGTTGCATGATTTAAGATGTGGATAAAAAGGCTGCAAAATAAATATTTATACAAGTTAAAATACTCATGAGTTTTTCTAATGCTGATATTTTACCTTCATAATTTTAAAAAGTAAAAAAATTGAAAAACAATCCTACCATTAGATTTCCCATGCTGCATATCAATTTATTCTTGAAAATGTTCTTAACAAGGCCAGAGAGGTGATCTGTACTTATTTTTATTAATTTGGATCATATTGGTTTTGAATAATGGTGGGAAAAAAAGATTAGGCATGTAGAAAACAAAATGAAAGAAAGAGGTGACAATGAAAGACCATGTTTTGTTAGTAACACAACAGGCAAAAGGAAGTGAGCAGGTGGCAAAGAAGACAAGGCCGGTTGGAAAAAAGTAATGCAAAATAATAGTACCAGTGGAAAATATAAGGAGTTGTTCAAAGTATCAAGTTTCTGTTTTTTGCATCATTAAAACATTAAATGCACTGAAACATGCAGTAGTGCTTGTTTAAATAGTTTTTGAGTTGACTCTTTAAAAAAAAAAATAGTGAATTGGTTAATGTGATCCAAATAATGTTTGAGGGTAAGATTAAAAGAAGTTGTCTAGAGGTGTAGAAATGGTTTCATTTAACTGCCAAAAGTTTTTAACACTCCATTTATAGGCTTGGTCATTTTGACCAACCTTTGAACTATCATGTAACTATGAAACTACATGTTACATAACTTTTAATTTGGTAAATGTTCTTCGTAAAGTTCAGTACACTTTTAATGAACATTACAAGTCTTTTTGTACATAAAAATCAGATACCTGAACTAAATATTTTTATAAAGATTTATCTGTAATTCTATGAAGTTAATAGTCTGAAGCAGACTCTGACTACTCTGAGTGTAAGGTGGTTTTCATGTTAAGATTGAAAAAACTTTTTTCATTTTGCAGTTCATATTTCATTTGCTTAACCACTAGAACCTCCTAAATGAATATGAAAACGTTTTTGACATTATATTTTATCTGTTTTTTTTCTCTACCTTAACACTGTATAAAGGCTTGGTCCAATTGACCAACCTTGTAACCGCCATAACAAAAACACTGAATAAATCTAAATTGCCTTTTTTTTCTAATGACTGGATATTGTTACAGACAATTACACACTATTTATTCTTACATTTAAAGCTAGTACAGTTCATACCTCAAAGTAATTTAAGTTTATTGCTTTACTGCCAATAATATTAGTGTCAAAGCAAATTATTGCAGTTGGGAAGCTTTGCATAAATACAATGTTGAGTTATCAACATGCTGTGCACACAAAATGTGTTTGGGCTATCAAGTATTTTTCATTTAATTTTTCTTATCTAGCCTAATAAGTTTCTAATTTTTATATCTTAGCTACTTTTATAACAATAATAAAAAAATATGCATAAGAAAACAAGAAATTTAGTAATTTTGTGTGGGTGTTGTACTTTTCTGCTCTCGAAGTCTCAATGAAAGTTAACCCTATATTTTTGTAGGAGTGTTATTAATACTTTACTGAATTTTTATTTATTTTAAAGCCCAGCATGGCCAGGTGGTTAGGGTGCTTAACTCACAATCTGGGGGTCGCGGGTTTGAATCTCCGTCCAATCAAACATGTTCACCCTTTCAGCCATGGGGGCATTATAAAGTGACAGTCAATCCCACTATTCATTGGTAAAGAGTAGTCCAACAGTTGGTTGTTGGTGGTGATGACTAGCTACCTTCATTCTAGCCTTTCAATGCTAAATTAGGGATAGCCCTCATGTAGCTTTGCGGGAAATTCAAAAACAAACAAACAAATTTATTTTAAATATGCAACTTAGAACAAAAAATATTAAAATGCAACAAAGAAAAAATGTTGTAAAACTATTATCATTTAACTGGCTTTCTGATTAAGCTGTATGTTCTTTTAAGTGTTAACTTTATGTGGTTGAGATTCTGTCTTTATCCAAGAGGTTCCTCTGCTTGGGCAGACTATCAGCAGCAACATCAGTGACTACCCTATGCTGGTGGGGTCTGTGAGAGTGCAGTTTCAACATTTTATGAACATCTAGAATTCTTTCACCACAAATCCATGGGTACTCCAGGTTCTGGCATTGGGGTTGGTCATTCAGTTCACATCTCCACCTCCATTATCCTCCCAACCTGTGGTATTTCCATTCTCAACAGATCCGCAAAGTGTGGATCTTCGTTCCAGGGCTGTCAGAGAGTTGTTGGTCACAGGGGAGGTAGAGAGAGTTGATCCTGTTCTTTCGGGATTTTATTCCCGTTTATTTGTTGTGCCCAAGAAGATGTGAGATTGGTGTTCTATGATCGATCTTTCTTGTCTCAACCAATTCTTAGATTCTCCCAAGTTCACAATGGAGTTCTTTCTTAACCTACATTGGCATTTATCACCAGGTCTGTGGATGACCAAATTTGATGCTACTGATGCCTATTTCCACATTCCCATAGCAGAGTCATCCCACCACTATTTATGTTTCGTGCACAAAGGTCAGGTTCTACAGTTTGAGGGTCTTCTATTTGGCCTCACATCTTCACTGTATGTCTTCTGCAGAGTTGTACATGCTTTTCCTCATCACCTTCATTTTTTGGGCCACTGCACACACCATTATATGGATGACTGGTTACTTCTGGCATCATCTCGTTGGTTTTCGAAACTGCACATTCAGATTCTCTTTTCAGAAACCACCAAGGCTGGCTTTCTTATCAGAGCCAAGAAATCCATTCTCATGCCGACTCAATACATTGTTCATCTGGGTGTCTTTTTCAACACGTATTTAAGTTGGGCTGAGCAAACTCCCTTCCTGTTCCATGCTGTGGGATAGGTAGTCAGGGTTTTACTCACGTTTCCTTCTGTGCAGATAGTTCTCTCTCTTTTGGGGTTGTGGGCATCCTTTGATTCTCTAATTCCTTTGGGATGAACACACATGCTATCCCTTTGGTTACTGCACAACCAATGGATCATGAATTGCAATCCACTGGATCATCCAGTCACCTTATTCAGGAGCAACATTTTAGATCTCAAGTGGTGGTTGGATCGGAACAACACTACAAGATTCTTCTCATCACAGATGCCTCATTTCAGGGATAGGGTGCTAATATCAACAGTCAGGAATTCCAGGGTCGATAGATGGACAACTAATCTTCCTTCCATATCAATATTTTAGAACATCTTACCATCCAATGGGCAGTGGCTCAAGGGAAAAATCATCATGATTTATTCCAACAATTCCATGGTGGTACCTTACATTTCCCATCAAGGGGACACGTGTTCTTGGTTTTTTGAACATTAGATATTCTCTACTGGGCTCACTCTCATCCTATCAGCCTTCTAGCTTACCATGTTCCGGGGGTTAGGAATTTAATAGCAGATTATCTGTCTCTGCCCAACCGAACTCTCCTGACTCAGTGGATGCTACATGATGAGGTTTTCAGGTGGATTTGCTCTCAGATCGGAGCTCAGATGATCAATGCAATCACCACTCATTGGAACTCTCAACTACAGGCATTTTGGTCCCCGGTACCTCATCCTCGGGCTATGACGATAAATGCATTCAGTCAAGACTGGACAGGATTTGCCTCCCACCCGATTCATCTGCTACCTAGGGTTCTGGCTAGGGTTCAATCCACTCCTTGTTGAGTGCTTTTGGTAGCCCTAGATTGACCGGCTCAACCATGGTTTCCTCTTCTTCAGTATTTTCGAGGGGTGTCCACCTCTTCCATTTCCTCTTTGACCATCTTTGTTGAGGCAACCTCATTCTGATATTCTACATCCAGACATTCCGAAGCTCAAATCTCATGCATGGAAGTTATGTGGTCCTTCGCATGGCATCAGAGTTTAACTTCTGAAGTTGCCTTTTATTTGTCTCAATCTCTTCTTAGACCCACAATGGCCATTTATCAGTGGAAATGGCACACTTATCGGTAATGATGTCTCAAGAGGAAATTGAACCCACTTCACCCAAACGTGCCAACCATATCTCATTTTTTGACAACGGTCTAGCTCTGTCTACTGTCACCTTATATAAGGCAGCTTTACTGACTACTTTTTGGAATTCTAAACATCAGAAATTGAGTCCCCAGTGCTATCTGGCCTTTTGAAATCATTTCACAATCTTTATTCAAAAAGGCCTTTTCAGTTACCTCACTGTGATATTAAGGTGGTATTGCATGCTTTGTTTCGACCTCCATGTAAGCCTTTAGCCTCAGGTACAATGTATCACGTTTCCAATTTGACCAAGTCACGTAACCTTCTGTACTCATTTAAAGTTGATATAAATTTGATACTTGTAACTCTCTATCTATTGGGTATATCTTCACAAAATTTGGCAGTCTTTCAGTTAATATTACTTTGACATACAAAAAGTCATAATTCTTAGTGAAGTATTTTTAATAAAATAAAGATTTGTTCATGAATATATT